CCCCCCCCCCCCCAACCCAACCCAACCCAACACTCCAAGTCCATAATGACTAAGCTGGCACAGTGATCTCTTATGTGGTGGTTTGTAAGGAGACAACACTGATGTTGGCTGTAGAGACTTTAGACTTCTGCTACATGAAAACTGATAGGTAAAAGTTGCAGAACATAAAAATGGTATGGACCTTTAAATTTGGTTATTGCAACTTCAGAATAGGTGATATGTGCAAAAGTCAGCCTAGGAAAGTTATACAAAACACTTCCAGCTTGGTACAAGCTGACTTAGTGGCCACAATATTTGCATGGAAAAGAATCCCTTTGGCATTTTGCAAGACAGTCTGTATTTGGAGGCTTGTAACCTACTGTGGGCTGCTCCTCGCTGTATTGTGTTCCTTTTATAAACGTGGATTGTACTAACTTGACTATCTTCCGCTCTTCGTAGTATATTACTTTTGTAACTTAATTCAGCTCCTATTTTACAGAGGAATTTTGCATCTTAGAGTATCTCTGCCAACTGTATTGAGCACATATACTTTGTACTATATGGCAGACTTTTATATTGGTAGCATTCCAATTTTTTAGCAAATTTGCAGGTTTAATATTGTATTGTTCAATCTGACATTGACTGATGGTTCTTGCCGTCCAAACTGGGGGAGTATGCTTACACTTAAGAAAAAAAAAAAAAAAAGATATTCTGGAAGATTTAGACTTTTCATTTGCTGTTCTTACCTTTCTGATTTCAGAAAGGCAATTTGAACATTCCTCTTGAGACTTTATAATCAAAGAGCTCTATTAATTTATATTTGCCTTTGCAATGCACACACATGCTATTTTTTTTAAACTCTAGGAAATATCCATTCTCAGGAGGTGCAGGATTGTATTCTAACATGGAGAGGTATGCAGTTAAACTTGCTAAGGTGTTGATTCTGACAAGAACCATGTTACTGCTAACTGGCATAGCTGTGTCTAAACTGAAAAATTATTTTGCAACTTAAACATGCAGAATTGTCAAGTACAGCCCAGTGTAACAATGTTTACGTGAAGTAAAGCTAACATTTCAATACAACTTTTTAAAAATGAAGTTCATATACTTTTAAACATAAGGCTTCTTTCTTTGTTCTAATTTAATTTTTCAAATTCCATTCAGTAAATCCATGTTTTAAATCAGCATAGCCTATCAGTGTTTTTTAAAGGAAACTTGTTCTTTTGTGTTTCTCTTGATGCTAAATATCTGAATCCAAGATAAGGAATACACAGAGGTTGATTTTGTGAGCATTGAAGCAGATTAAAACATTGATAGGATAATTGTCCTCATCTATTTTGGAAGTTCATTTTGTCTGTCTATAAACACGCAAGAAGAAAGCTTGAAATTGATAGAAACCAGAAAAATCTGATCTTGTATGCAGAGAGCACAGGTCAACCTGTAAAGTTGGTAATGTAAGCTTTACAGTGTTTTAGAAGCATTTTGCAGCAGCTTTGCTGCTGTCAAACACTTAAGGCAGCAGAGCATCGTTGGGCCTTGAATTTAATAAGTATGTTTAGGGTTGCCCTTTTCCCTTACATTCATGCACCAGTCTTTTTGCTGTTCTTTAACTTGCTGTGCTTGTTTTGTCCAAAGTCATCTTCTGTGGTCTGTGGGAGTGCACACATAACCTGAATTCACACAGAATCACACAGAATCAGCTAGGTTGGAAAGGACCTTGAAGTGTTACTCCAGCAAGTGCAAGTGTCTAACATTAGTCTGGTACTACAAAGTGCACAAAATAATGAAGTGGAAAACTCGTAACTGAGTAACTCTGAATATACAAAAAAGAAGGGAGGGTCACATATTTTTAATAGCTCAGCAAATCTAGCAATATTTGAGACTTGGAGACTTGACAATTGTTTTGAGCTCTTCCTTATTATGTTTGGGGATATGTATGCACATACCTGAAAGTGATAGAGACAGAGGCACTCCCCCTCTGGTCGTTTTTGGGTTTTTTGGGGGGGTTGTACCTTATGCCACAGCTTTTTATAATAGCTTTTCTAAACTTTTTGCCTTTATTTTTTCCTTTCTGGAAGATCCCCTAAACTAGTGGGTTTATGACGTTACACCTGCATACAGAAATTACTTTCACATATGTGTGTTTTGGCAAATTCTGATTATGGTGAAAAAAGCTTATGGAAGGATCATTAAGCAAGGTTCCTAAAACTGTTCTTGAATAGTGATATACAAAGCTTCCATATGTGCTAATTATCTTCATGTCCTTTGGCAAACAAGATAACACTTATACAGAGTGTTGGTACAGAAATGTAGGTAGGCCTGAAGTTTGTAAATGTCCAAGACTAGCAAGAATTGGATTCTGTAAATACACTGCTTGTGATGAAGCAAATTATATGCTTAACTTTAAATCACTAAATATTCTTGACCGGGAGGGTCACCATTTTAGTTTGTGTTTTCTTGGATAAGACGAAGTGCATGCTGTGCGTGGTATACTGCTACAGTAATAACAACAGGTAATGTCACTTCCTTTTTGGTTTTCCATTATTTCCCCCCTGCTCCCTTCTACTCTAGAAAAAAAACATTCCAATATAATTTTGAAGAAACTACCACTTCACTGGGTTCTGAGGGAATAAATCTGGAAAAAAAAAGGCATCAAAAAACCCCCTGAGTAATTAGCTGCTTTAAGAAGCAAGAGTCAGTTAAATCATGTAAGAAAAAAAAATTTTTTTGATGCAAGCATGTTAAGGTTATTTAGAAGTATTAAAACCCTTCAGTGGGGATAAAAGCACAGATTCCTATACTCTTCTGTATGGCTGCATCTCAAGTCATGCCAAAAAGAGTATTGAAGGGGAAAGAGGAAAGGGTTGAACTTGGACATCAGTACCAGTCTCTTGCAACAGTTAGTATCTCATTGCATTTTTTAAGCAGTGCTTGCATACTTAGTGGTACACCTGTTCATTACTATTTAGCTACTTTTTTGATATATGAAAGTCCACTCAGTTTTCAAGCACCAAAACTATTGTGGAGATGAGTCTTAATCATTAAATATGCATTTGAAGAAATAGCAGATGTCTTAAGAAAAACAAGTAGGTTTTGTGGACCTAGAATATAACAGAAATATAACTATGATAGCTTTTCATGCTGGTCATATAGTTTCTACTGAAGAGTTGGTGAGAATTTGCAGTAATCTACAGACAATATTGATTTTTTTTCGGGATTTTTAAAATAAACTAGGATACTTCTATAGAAACTTGACCTGTAACTACAAAAACCATCATAGTTGTGTCAAGATAGAAGTATATTTGGCAGAACTGCTAGCAGTGAGCCAGTTTTACCCTCTGAATCATTTTGTGCATGTCGACTTTATCAGTCAGGGGTTAATTGATAGACCACTGATGATTCATACAGATTACTATTTCTGATGTATCTTTGACATTGTCAGTATTCCAACTGAAACAGTATTCCTGGGGAAAAAAGTCCTTTGGAGTGAACCTACTGATGTCTAGTTCATTATATGGTGAATAAACACCAAAAAAACCTTTTACAACTCCTCAAATGCTATAGTATTGTGAACACTGAACTTTCCATATAGCAGTATTCTGCATACTTATAATTTGTATCTTAAGAAATTTGCAGTGAGTATTATGTACATAATTCAGTGACATGCACATTTTTAAAACAAGTTTATAATAGGTGTGTAAGAACTTAAGATGATAAATGTGGAGCACAATAATCTGATTTATTAGCCCAGTGACTGCGTAGTTAGAAAGACTAACTGTACCTTAGTTTCACTCTTACAGTTCAGTTCTGTCAAATACAAGAAATTTCTCAATTGTGAGAAATCACAGACTGCATTGTACATGGTACTTAACATAATAGGGATGTAGAAACATAGCTTTTCACACTGAACAGTTACTTCAATTTTTTTCTGACAGAGAAAGTAGTATTACTTAATGGCTAGAAGTTATGGCAGTAAAGTTTAAAACAAGTACTGTAAATAAGTAAATATTGTTTTGATTCTAAACTCAGAATGAATTAATATATTGTTTTATATCTTTGTTGTATTAAAACATATTTAAAAGTACTAAAATAAAATACTTGAAAGATGATAAGTGTTTTTATTTATATGTAGAATGATGTCTCATTATCTCTGTTAGCATTGTGACCATAAAAGTATACCTGATTAATATAGGTTTTAGAGTTGTTTTGCCCCTAAGCTCTGTTTTACTGGTGTGAAAATGCGTGCTCCATAATGCATGTATCAGTGTGCCTAATGTTTTTGTCAGTTGTAAATTGTTGTGGCAAATCACTTCAATATCTTTGTTATTAAAAAGGTAAAAAATGTGTTCCATCTTGTAATATCTCAGTTAAATATGAAAAAAGACTTTCAAAGACTTCAACTGAAGTAACTAATGTCTCTAGGTACTGATGGTAAATAATGTTAAATCAATAGTCTATAAAAAATATTGGGAAAACAGAAAGAGTAAAGTTAACTTCTGAAAACTTATATACTCTTCTAATGGGTTTGTATGTTAGGTTTGTTGCTACTTTCAGTCATGGATTTCAGTCATTTGTTATGTGAAAGGATGTACATTTATTCCTGTGGAGATATTTAAACAGCATACCAAATATACTGTATGCCTTGGAGTTGTATGTTCATATTTGTAAATCACAATTTTAAAATATATTTTGTGACCTTAATCCAGCTAAAACATTCTGTGATTAGTGTGAGCCAGGTAAACTTAATGTACTGAACTGTTAGAAAATTTTTTGTTTACCTCCCTCTGAATTACAGAATCTTGATCAGTGTGACAATTTAGAGAAAGGATACTGAATATGAAGCCCTTAATCAGTAATCAGTATGTGGTTTTGGGGGGTTTTGAATTGGTTTTTAGAAGACCAGATTCAAAAAGGAAAACAGATATGGCAATACAAAAAAAAACCCAACATATATATTACAAGGAAGAAGGGGAAGCAAAATGAATAAGGTTCAGTGTGCCAGTGGCCTTTGGTCTAATATTCTGGGAAGCAGTAGCTTGTGTTCTAGGGAACTAAGCAAGTATGTGTTTTGGGCGTTGTAGAACAGATTGGGAACACTTCCAGGGAAAATAGCTGCCTGCTTCCCAGAATATGTTACAATACTGCTTAGAGATGTGAACTTTGAATAAAAAAATCTTTCCCCTCCACAATAACTTGCACTTCTCAATGTTTCTACTACAACCAGAGCTAGAAAGAGAAATAGTTGCTGCTATCTGTAATGAAGAAATAAAACAGAATCTAGGCAGATGGGTTTTTCTGGTGTGAAAATGCAGGTGAAACACCTCTCGCTAGCCTACACTCTTAGTTGATAGAATCTGGGGATAATCAATTTCAGATTATGTTTATTGGACCACTTTGTTCAGTTTTATTTTCAAAACTCATAAGGAAATCGGGTACAGAACAGAAAGTATTCTCCTGATTAATTAAATTAATGACATTACAATACCCTTAGCATCTGCAAGCTGTTTAATTATATCATTGCATCCTATTTCTTTCTTCAGTAAACTCCAAGGAAGTAGTTTATTCTTATCTATTAAATGTGCATGTGTTAGTCTCATTTACTATTCATCATTCAAAATGTATATTGAATTATTAATCTTGGCCTTTCATAGAGCTGTCAAAGTAATTCACAAAGACTGAGCATATTTTCACAACTAACTTTGGACTAACTGAAATTGATTTAAAGCATAGATGTGATAGTGTTATGAGTTCTTCCTCCAGTATGGAAATTAGTAATGCTGACAAAATATAGTTGGCACATACTATGTGAATCTGTTACAAGTATGTGCATATACCTCAAACTATTTCTGGAGCAATAACTAGTTTTGGGGATGTAGTAATTAAAGGTTACAGCTGTGGTCTTAAGTCTGCAGCTACCTATGACTGATATGCTTTTTATTTTGGCAGTGATCTATGACAAACTCTCATTAAATTACTGGTTCTCTGGATTGCTAAACAGCTGACAAATACTAAAGTCATTCCTGTTGCTGTCAAAACTGTACTAAAGCTTGATACGAGGATGGGTACTCACTGGACTATTCCTAGTAATCATTTGACTTGTGTAAAATATCGACAGCCAATTCGGTAGCAGGTTTGGGGTTTTTTTTAAGTGTCATTGGTTTCTCAAAAAGTTCTTTTCAAGCTCTAAACTCTAGCATACCACAGCAAGCAAGATCAATTTGGAAGGAAATAGGGAATGCTTGTTTTCAAAGAAGCATCATTCATTTTAAATACAAAAAGCTATTAACTTTTTTCCCCTCACTCCTTTAGATGAAGTCCTCAAAACTGAATCTGTGTCTCTTGATCACTGGTAGATTCTCAGATAACTATAATTGGTGGCAATAGACCTGAAAAGAAAGGGGCAGAGAGGAAGAGAAGACAGCAGCAGGCAACAAGTTTGCTGTTCTTACTGTAGCACTGAAGAATGGTCTTTTAGTAAATGTAGGGAAAAGCAATTCATTTCACAAATACTGTGAAGGAGAGTGAAGAATGAAGCTCGAGGAGTTTACCAAAAAGTATTCAAGAGGTGACTGTGTCCTCTAAGAAATCTCTCATGTATGAATGGAAACACTGACAGGAACTGATAAAACTGTAACCTGCAATTTTTCTGGCTTTTGTAACTTTGTTACAAGTCTCATCACAAAGGCCACCTCCAGAGTTTAAATTTTTGGATTGAAATTATTTCATGATATTAGGGTTTTGTGGGATGTTTTGGGGCAAAGCTAAGAAGGTAAGACTTCTGTATCCTAATGGCACTCTAAAAGATGGTAGTTGGTTTTTGTTTTTGTTTTTTTTTTTTTTTAAATATTGGGGGAGGTTTGGAATACTGAATATGTAGAGATCAATGACCTGATACAGGTATTGTTTCTACATGCATAAAAATTGTTACACATCACAAAAACTATTTTGTGCATGCTTCTGCCAGAAATAAGGTGAGTGATGTTCTCCCTATCCTCCTGTGCTTCGCCTTATGGTGGAAAGCAAAGGAGAGTAGGTCCCGCCTGTGGCACACAGGGTTATGGCAGTGCTCTGCTCCAGGAGGCTTTTGGAGGCAGCTTGAACTGTTTGCAGGAAGTGACAGTTTGACCTAGAAATATGAGCTGAAGTTATGGAAAGAGAAGACAATAAAAACAAAAGCACTACTTTGAGCATCTGTAAAACTGCACATATTATTTTTCATCAGATCAGGCTGCGCCAACTAAATTGGTAGTTGATGCCTAAATTAGGTCTATATACCTGCAGCCCTTACTTTGCTTCTCAGTAGGTTTCAGTGTATCTTAGCAAGTTCCATTAGTATCTTGCAAGATACTAACTTGACTTAGGGGGATGTCAGCTCTGTTAACAGGCGCCTTGATGGATGACTCTGCAAGGTGTGTTCTCCTGCTCCCCACCCCAGGGCACAACAGCACTTCAGTGTGTTACAGAGCAACTGCTTGCTGATACCAGTGTTTCTGAAGAGGAAGGCAGTTTAAATGCTTTTGTGAGGGTGCCAAGAAGTGATTCAATCTCTAACATGTTTGCAGTGCGCTCACTCGAAGGCTCTACCTCTTGTTTCTGCCCTGCCTACTAAAAATAGTCACCCTGGCTAATGCCCCTCATGTGACAATCATAAGCTGTCAAGTATGAGACTGGAAATGCTGAGAAAAGTGTGTGCTCTCCCGCAGGCTGCATTAAATAAGCAAGAGGAGACAGCAGAGGAAGAGGGAGAGTGGTTTGCAATGGGCTCTGCTGAATGTAAGCCTTGCTGAAAGCCTCTGCCCATTCTTGACATGACTTCACAAAGGTGTTTTGTTGGTTGCTCTGGTTTTCTCTTAATCAGGCTGTTTCTCCAAGCTGGGGGTTGCAGTAATTGAAAACCAGAGCTTTAGTAGAGGCTGGTGTCTGCTTCTGGCCAGCTGACAACATGAAAGACTCCTCATGCCATCTCTGTCCTGATGTTTCAGACTGGGATTGTCAAAGCAGGGACAGGCTGGTGTAATGGCATGACCAAGTTATGGCAGCACTGCTGCACTGGTGTGGTGTGCACACTAACCAGGAATGGACTTGGGTTTATATGCCAGAATTAACTTATTTTATTCCAGGAATAGTTGCCTACAAGACAGTTACACCAGTAGCTAAATCCATAGACAGACTCCTACTCAGGCATTATCCCTACCATGTCCAAATGAATCTCAGTTAAATTCAAACCTGTGCTAGCTGGCGTGGTTTGTGGAAGGTTCACAACTTGTGTCATTTTCACTTTGGCTTTTCAGTGCAGATGTAGGCTGTGTTATCTGATGGCTATTGATTTGCCCTTGGTTTTCCATGTACTATTTATATGCACAAATCCCTCCTCTGCTTTTCCCGTGGCATGGGCTAACTGGCAGGGAATGACAGAATAGCCCAGAACACTGCAGCACAAAAGGAAGCTGCATGCCAGCATGTGGTGTGCTGAGCACATTATCCATAAGACGACAGTAGCCTGAGCTTACCCCTAGCTACCTGGTGTCCATATTCACATCCCGTCTAAATGTTCAAAGTCCAATGCCAACTCATCCAATACTAATAAATGCTACCACATCAGATGCAGGAAGAATTTACACCTAGAGTTACACAAAGACTAAGGAACCCTAAGGAAACTAGCTCAGCTCTTTTACTTGATCTTAAGAAATGCCCCACATAAGATTAAATGCATATATAGTTTTCAGTATCATTTTTGGTTTTAGCTCTTAAGAGAAGGCACTAGTCCCTAGTCTCCAGATGTGTAAGATGTGGGAATTCAAACCTCATTGGATCCAGGGGCAATAAGTGGTTGGGATGCAGATCCCTGGTATCTCTGACTGATCTGACAGCTGAAGAACTGTGAGAATTCATCCTCAGACAAGCAAGAAAGATGCTGGCTTAGGACGGAGGCTTTCTTAACTCCCTTGGGAAGAAATAAGGCAGCTTAATGAGAGTGCATTGACAAATAAACTCATCAGTGTTTCTGAGGGCATTTATCAGAACCAGAATAAAGGTAGTTTGGGTTCCTTAATTGAGTGTGCCAACTTTCTTAAAATGTTTAATCTTAATGTTAAGTGAAATGTAGTGTTGTTTAGAAGTTTTCTAATTTTTAGGTCACTAAGAGGGATTTAGTTTTACCTAAGGATTTCTTGTATATTTATGTTCCCAAATGCAGGAAGGAAAGGGCTGACGTTGGCTTGGATTTGCATCCATATTTTCTTGATTTCCTTTTCTACTTTTTTTCCTCTCAACCACAGAAGGCTTAGAAAGCTTGTGCCACATTATCCACCTTCTCATCATCATGCCTGTGATAATGTCTTGCCAGATCTCTTCTAGGCATGAACTAACTTGTCAGCTAGTTACAAACACAGGCAGGGTAACCAAGGATTAACACCCTATCTAGATATAGAAACCTAAAATGTGGTGTGGCTGACAAAATTGTTGAGTCTTCCAGGATGGACCTGTGGGGAATTTCATGGCAAAAAACTCAGAATCATGCTCTCTGTAAGGCTGAAGATCCCTTCTGGCACAAGATGGATGTTGGATGTTGCTACATCCTTTTTGCTGCTTGAGTACAGGTCAAAGGTGAAGGATCTTTGGAAGGCCTTTTCTTCTGCCAGAAGTGATTAATGGAAAACAGCCAGCCGGCAGATCGGAATAACAGCTGGAGTGCCAGGATCCTGCCAAAAGAAATGTTTGTACATTAAGATTACTGGGCACTGACTTTTGTCACTTGAACATCTGTATCCTGCTCTGAGGATTTCAAAGCACATTTGAAATTCATCCTCCTGGAAAATGAAAGCACTGAAGTAGCCCCAGGCATGCCAAAGATTGCAGTGGACTTAATCAGACAAACCTATTATACCGCATGTGGCTTCTCAGATAGCTTATTTAAAACAACAAGAGTATCTTCAAATCATAGTCTCTTACATATAAATTCCCTGAGCAATAAGAAATCAGGACTGCAGTCAAAGAAAATAAACACGCTGCTAGTAAAACTGCCTGTTTGTGCCTGCAATGAACAGCTGAGTAAAAGAAAGAAGGAAAATGAGAAAAACAATGCATACACAATTGTTCTTGATTCCACACATCTAGCAGTCTACATGTCAGCTCACAAAAACCTTATGAACTGGCAGTGCCAGTTGTAGAAGCATGGAGGCTTCTACATAAGGCTGTATATTGAGTGGTATGTTGTATACTGCAGAGAAAAGGCAAGGAGGCAGATGTATCAGAAAGCATCCACAGCATCACTTCAAAGTACTTTAACTGCAGTCTGTGTCAGAAGAAAGCTGCTGAGCATATTGAAAATGGTGCTGGAAGCATGAAATCCTGGAGACAGAGTGTATCCCTCGCAGGAATGATCGCAGCTCGGCTGAGATCCCCCAGGATGGAATGAAGTTGTACACTGTATGACCCATGCTATATTTGGCACTTCGTGCAGTTAATCTTATGATGTAGTACCGAACAAATGCTAACAGCCATATAATGGCGCAAAAAGGTAGAAGCCCATTGTATCACTGAGTCAGTTGTCCTGGACCGTGTTGGTGGATATACAG